AACGGAAAGTGCCACTAAAGCTTCCACTGACAACTCGCCGTCCTTGAAGGCTGACGAAGCCCAAGACAAAGAGGAGCCTAAACAAGCCGACGTGCCTGCTGCTGACACCACTGCCACCACCACCCCTGCCGCAGAGGATGCTACTGCCAAGGCAACAGCGCAACCCCAAATGGAGACAGTGGAGAGCAGCCAAACCGAAGAGAAGACAGGTGAGTCTGGAGAGACAAGAGAGACAGGCCTCTCCAGAAATGGATGCCTCCCTCGGTCTCTTGGGGACGCATCTGAGGTTGGCCAGAAAGGGCTGGTGCGGGGTCAGACTGAGGGCTAACAAGGGAATCCCCTTGCTGGGTTTTAGGAGTGGAGGGAACTGCATGTTCTTGCTTATTAGCTGCTTCCCTGCTTCTCAGCAGCTTTTGGAAATACTGCAGCCCCTCTCAAGGCTCCCATTCCTCTAGGTGGAGGTGCCATCGAGCCCTTTTTTTCTGTGGTGCTGGGAGACTGTCAGCCAGCTGGGAGGCTTGCAGGAGCCTGGGAGAGCTCCCCAAGCTCTGCATATGCTAAAGGCAGATGAACCTTCCCAGTCACACTAGCACAGGCAGCTCCAGCAGGGCAACAAAATAGCCCAAGCTGATACCAGCACACTGGAGGCTGCCAACCTGACCTGAAAATCTCACAAGGCAAAATGCTCTCATACTGCAGAAGGTCATTTAGCGTTGCTGGTGGGATGGTCAATAAGGAGCCAAAAGGGTCTTTTTTCCATCTGCTTGTAATTCGATGAGATTCCTGGTACAACCACATCCTAGTCAGGAACATCTTGTTATCAGCATTGCTTATAGTTTCACTCACACCAATACTTCTAGCCTCTGTACTTGGAGTAGCCCATGACAGCCACACTTGCATGAGGCTTTTAGATGTGTCAGCTGGGTTGAAGATCAAAGGCCCTGGCAGCTCAGTGAGTGAGGACAGAAGAGAGGGTTGAATGCAAACGGTCGCTCTAGGAAGTGTTGTTAATTCTTTGCTCTTGACAGAGTGCAACTCTGCTTAACTGGTTCCCCTGGGAAGAGGTGCAAAGTTTTGAGAGGCAAAAGTGAGCATTTTTGACAGAGGCATAGTGTTTCCAAACCATAAAGAAGAGCCGTTTTTGAATTGTGATACTGAGCTGCGTAGAAAATGCATCAAAGAGCTGAGGATACTTTTGCTCTTGTTCTTCACCTTCCTTATGTTATCAAAGAAAGAGAACATAAATAAAAAAAAAGGTAACATCAGAGGTAGGCACCACATAAAACTCCATCAAGAGGAAGCGCCAAGCATAACTGGCCTCCACATTTATGAAACATTCAGTTGTACAGGGCATTCTGCATTCATTAGCTTGTTGGGGCAAAAATGTGGCATATCACCTTGATATTCATAAACAACCTGATGTAAATGTTACAGAGCCTCAGCATCCAGTCTTGCATTTGCTGATGTTTCTCCATCATTTCATTTTGTCCACTACTTCTGTTCCACAAATTACAATTCCCACTCTCTAATTAGACTTCCAAGCTTCATAGTTAACTCAGGGCTTCAGGCAGCTCTGTTCCTGCTCAACAAAGTGGACCAATGGGGAAGAACAGATATCCAAAAGGACTGATAAGTACTGGGAGAGGAGCTCATGTACAATATTTATGATTTAAGGTATGGACAAGGGACGCAGATTTCAAGAGCGTGAGTCTAAACTGAATGTACACAACACCAAAAGGTTGCTGGTTTTACCTCCTTGCATTTAAACATTTCTAGAGATAAGCCTTGAAATTACATAGTCCAAGTTGGGTTTTTGTTGTCTAGGTCTCCTGCCCTTTGTTCTTACTCTGTGTGATGAGTTCAGTGGCAAAATAAATGTCATGTGATTTGTGAAATCGAATTTGGTATGTTGCATGCTGTACTTGCGTTGTTTTTATACTTGGTCAAAGTATAAACATCAATGGCAAAAATAGGACAGAGTGAATCAGAGTTTTGGGGACCTCTGTACATAGGATAATAAGTGCCAATTAACTCTTATTTAAGAATTAGGATGCCTTATTCCTAAAGAGGAATAGTGATTCTGCTTTGAATTGACATTCTATTTTTATTCAGATTAATCTGCTGTGATGGATAGTGGCAGGAAATTCATAGTAGCAGGCTATTTGGTTTGCTTAATTTTACCTGTTTTGAGTTTCCAGTCATCAAAGACTGGTTTATTCCTATGCAGTATTCTAAATTCTATGCAGATATCTTCCCCATGCTCTTGTTGGCTTTAACATCATTTGAAGTGGCCATTGAAATGCATGATTTAATATGCATTTTCCCATGATACTGTTACTTATGTAAATATCTAGCCAACAGAATAAGTTGGAAAATCTACAATCAAATATATATTTAAAAATGAGTTTTCAGTGATTGTTTGAGTGTTCAAGGCAAGTATGTGCATTTATTTATACTTATTCGATATGCATACAGTAATACTCAAGTTTACCAGTGTTTGCTGAAAGCAAACATGGAAGGCATGTGGCCACAGCCAAACTGACAGTCTCTGTAAAATGTTAATGAATATAGATTTTTTTCTAAATTCCTGTTCCAGTATGATATCAGCCTTCCAGTCACAAACTCGAACAGCTGGGTAAGTGCCCTCAGAGCCATCCAAGGAATAAACGCAAAAAACATTAAACAGGCCTTCTTGTCCATCTCTCTGAGGATCCTGGGTTGTGTTCTGCAATACACTCTATAGCACAAAGTCCAGAATAGTAAGAAGCTGCTTTCTCCTTAAAGAATATTCCACAAAAGAGCATCATCACAGTATAAAAGTTCCCACAGACAGGAATAATTTCCTGACAGAAAGCCTATGTTTTCTTTTCCTGTCTTCATCCTGTTACTCCCTCTCATCTCTTTAAACCTCTCTGTTTCTCTCTTGGTACTTGTTTGTTCCATAGACTTAAAGACATTTGCCATGTCTTGACCTTTCTCTCAGCCATCCCTCAGCAAACACAGCACTGGTGGTTGCTGGCACGGCTGCGACGGTGTGGTCATTCGTGAAAGAGGGAGGGCTACCAAACATCTGCCGCTCCAGTACTCCTCCAGCCTGGGGACAGATCCTCTTTCAGCTTCATCAGTCCCCTTCTCCCAGAAGTCATCCCCTTGGCTTTCAAAGGTCATCTCTTATCGCTTCTGTGATCGAAGACTGGCACAGTAGTATGCAGTGTCAGGCTGCCAAAAATAAATCAAATTGGCTTCCAGCCAGTGTCATCGGTTGGCTGGTTGCCATGGCATGCTTGGCTGCTACTACCATGAGGCGTGCCGACCGTGCTACTTTTGCGTGGTGATGTTCATCTTCCTTGAATTTTACTACAATGGCTGTATTGTGTTATCTGTGGATATCTTCCCTGGTGCAAATACAAGCAAAAGGCAAGGGCACCTTCATCTGAAGGCAGGACAAAAAAGACAGGAAGAGGGGGAAGGAATAGCTAACCAGATAAAGAGAAGTGCATGATTTTTAATGCTTAATATTTAATGTTTCTGGAGTGAGGGAGAGGCAGGGGGTTCTTTGTACCAGTCCCTAATTCCCCTGATGGCCCTCAGCTCTCCTTCTTATTTAGTTCCACATATTCTACCTGCCTGTTGGTAACAGCTTAGTGAATGGCTTCAAACAACTGTCCTGTATCCAGTATTAGTTGATCTTGTGCCCTGGGCATGCCCAGTTGTACAGCAGGGCAATTTCTAGGCAATCCTCAATGTATCAAAAAGCATATGGAAAAAGTAGGTGGATTCCAACCTGGGTAAACCATGAGATGAGTCACTGGGCTTCATTCAGTGGCAATGGGTGACTGAGGTAAGAAGGACAATGTTTTAGTTCTCTTGTCTCCTTTTGATGGGTGACTTTCATGCCAAGAAGGTGTTCTCTTATCTGAGCATTCTTGCCGTGACTTACGTTTACAGGCTTTCTTGTTACGATCCAGCTTTTGCCTCTTTGGTGTTGGCATTATGCTTAGAGAGGCTCCCTGAGATGCCAGCCTATTCAACAGGATAAAATTCAAAAGTGGTAGGAGGGAATTTATACATTACATATGGATGAGGAAGTGAGACTTATTCTAACCTAGGTTGCATTGGCTTAAATCCGGAGAGTTGCCATCAAAGTCATTGGAAAGAGTCTACATTAGCGCAGCTTTGAAATAAGATCAGCATCCAGCACAGCAGACTATAGAAGAAGATGGGCTACTGGGTGCCTTAGGGGGAGGAGAGGAGGTGAATGTCACACAATGTTGGATTCTTTTTGTACTTTCCCAAGTTTTTGAGTCTTACCTCCAAATTTGGCTAGCTCTCACATCAAAAGCACTCTCAGATTGTCAGGTAAGAATACAACAAAGCCCAGATATGTGAAAGAGTAAATTGTGCCTGAGGAAACAAATGGATCTTCTTTTGTTGGGAAATGAAGAATGCTTTCTCTGGCTTCATGAAATAGCTTTACAATAGAGCAGTTTCACAGCTGAAATGAAAAATCAGACAGATGACAATTGCTTTGCATGTAAGCGGGCCAGCAGTTCCCCCAGGGCCCTGTATCCTGCAAGCAAGGAGCACTGGGAGGCACATCTTCACTTCCTCAGAGGGAGCAAGTCCCTATGGATCCTTTTTTATGGTTTAGAGTTGAATCAGTTCTTTGTTTTCAGTTCAATCATCATATTGATGGAAGGACAATACTTGCTGCATCTGGGGAGCACTGGCTATATAAAGATTTGGAAAGGGAGACTGTCTATTGTCATGTACTCGCTAGAAGGTACAGCCTGCACTACACAAGGGGATTGCAGTTGTATGACTGGAATTTTAGTCTTGGCCCATGGGTAGCTGGGGTGAGGCAGAACACCCTCACTGCCCTTGCTGTTTCGTGGGAGCTTATCTCTGCTGCTACACCTGGCAGCCGAGGAAAGCAATGAAAATACAGCAGTCTTCCCCTGACAGAAAAACTCTAAGCAGGCGTGCCAGCATTTTCTTGTCTGTAGTACTACTCCAGCAACAAAGTAGATATATAAATGCAATTTAGGTTACCTGCAAAGTGCTGAAAGGTGTCAAAGTGTGTGCCTAGTCCTCAGTTGCTCTGAAATTTTTAATCTTTGCATTGTGTCTACATGGGTAGAAGCATTACATATGTATTTCACAGCCTGCTTTGCACTGGTGCAAATAGCCATGTGAGGGGCAGGAGGAG